CATCTGATGAGATCGACAAACGAATCTCTTCATCATGTACTTTCATTCGAAATGAAGGTCCCCCTAACAAGAGATTCCTTAAAACGCAACTTTTCTTTGCATATCCTTTTATCGTGTCGATGTGATTTACCCTCGTGTGGGCGACCCAGATGAACTTATTTTGTCCAGAATTGTCACATTCAGATGCTGGAAATTACCAAGACTACCATGTTAGATGACTTCGGATAAGGTCGTCCTGACAACACGTCCAGGTCGCGATAACGGTGGTCCTTCAATCCAAGACAAGTCTTTCACAATCACAACCAAATCAAAGCTACACTATGAATTGAGAAAAAGAGTCTTCAAAACAAATCGTCTCCGATATTCCACAACGGATCGGTCAATGTAGACAATTGAGCGGTAGGGGAGAGGCCGAAAGTAGATTTGGCTCATGCAGTGATGAGTCACGCTAGGGCCCGAGTGCAGACGCTGAATCCCCGCGGCATGGGCAAGGGGCACAGGGCTGCACCTGGCGAGTTGGAGCAAACAAGAGGCCCCGGAGTGCGAGACAAGCGGCTCAGGCCGACAGGCCCTAAAGCCGGTGGAGCGGTAGAGCAGACTGTAGTCGAATGACCTTGAATGCAATGAACGTGACCAGCCCAGAACTGATTGGCTGCAGCCATCTCTAACGCTTATTGGCTAAAGCTGTGTCTCGTCGGACCTTGCAGTTGGCCAATAGGACGAACGACAGCTCAGTGCATGTTTGACCGTCCTGGCTTACTGCGATGGCCAGACTTCTCAATCTCTTCGTGTCCAACTCGGCTGCTTAGCTGAGCCGACTCCGGGTCTGTCTTCTCCTTCTTTTCCGACATGCTACTGTGACCCATCTCCAAGGGGCTATTTGATCCCTGTGTACATATTTTGGCGCCCCTCCTGCCGCTATGCATTTACATTTACCGACCATTTCGATGGGCTCTCTTGGACTCTTGTGTCTTCTCCTTCTCGTCCGCCTGCATCCGGGAGCAGGAATACATAAGCCGCGTGTTGTCGAGTTTAAGGTTAAGGAAGAATCACCTCCAATGACTCGCCTCGCTACGGTGACCGGTCTGCTTCCAAGCCTCGGCTCCTCCTCGTCCTTCATCATGTCTCAAGAGGATTCCTACTTTCGTGTCGAGCCCAACGGAAATATTCTGCTGACCAGGCGATTAGATCTGGAGTCTCTTTGTGTAAATGAGAGCTTGTGCTGCGAGGCTTCACTCGAATGCATCGTCGAGGTCACCGCGATACAGGAGGATATAGGCACGGACGGGGAAGTGATCCTGTTGAGGGGCACTGTAGTGGATATCAACGATCACGTGCCCGTCTTCTCAGCCGACTCGTACAGCGTATTCCCGGACGGCACAAAAGGACAGCTTGTGCAAATACCGGAAAATGCCCAAGTGAGGCATCTACTGGATCTTATTCCTGCTCAAGACGATGACGTCTCTCGGGTCAATCAGATAACTACCTACAAACTGATAGGTGATGAGATTCGCAGCATGTTCGACCTGGATGTGACTAAACTTCCCGATGTCAGACTGCGTCTTTCCTCTCCCCTCGACTATGAGGCGGTCAAAAGTTATTCCGGCCTTCTGGAAGCCTGTGACAAGTCGAATTGCTCCAGCCAGCCTCTGCTGGTCAAAGTGCTGGATGAAAATGATAATAAGCCCAAATTCCAACAGCCTGCCGTCTACAACGTCAGCATTCCTGAGGACCTTGCTCGTGGCAGCCTCGTCATAGCCCTGAACGCCACGGATGACGATTCACCGGAACATTCTAAAATGTACTTCAGCTTCTACGGCAGTGCGGATTCGAAGCTGAAGCAACATTTTCGTCTTGATCATTCGACCGGGCGAATTATTTTGATGCACGACCTGGCGGCCAACGTCCGTCAGAATTACACTTTCCAGGTTTCCGTATCTGAGTCCCCTGGGGACGTGGATCCGGGTGCAGTTGCGCAGGTTTCCATTCATGTCATAGACGTAAACAACCACAGGCCCGACATCCGCTTACTGAATACGCCGGCCTCAGCTGACGGGGTTGGCATCATACGAATTCGCGAAAACGAGCCCGCTCGACGACTCACCTTCGTCAAGGTGATCGATTCCGATCTGGGTCGAAATCGCTTGGTCACCTGCGACCTTTATGAGCCAGAGAATGGTTTAGAAAAGTATCGCCCGGGTTTTGCTCTCAAGCCCAGCTCGGAAGGGATTTATTTGCTCTATTCTACGAGGGAATTCGATGCTGAGACGCAACCTGCACTTCGTGTCGTCATCACTTGTCGTGATGCTGGAGACCCTCCGCTCTCATCCGAGATGCCCGTCAATATTTTTGTGGAGGATGAGAATGAATTCGACCCCGAGTTCGAGCAGGCTACTTACGTCGCTGGAGTTCGTGAAAATGCTCCGTCCAGGATTCCCGTTCTTCAGGTGAGTCACTTCTCCCCACTCAACTAATCTGGGCA